TGCCCTGCCTGTCCGGCTGTGCCTGCCCCGCTCTGCCGGCTGCCCCGCTGTGCCCAGCTGTGCTGCCCGCCCGGCTCTTCCGGCCGCCTCTGCCCAGCTGAGCCTGCACTCCTGGGGTCGTCTGCCTGTTGTCATGTGTGTTTCAGAAATGCCGTGTCACCAGCACAGCCTTCCCTTTCTCATTCTTTAAAGGTAATCTTTGTTGCGACCCGTATTTTATGCTAACAGCAAGAAAAATACTGCATGCTGCCGGTATTTGACCAACATACCATCTCATATTTAACCTTCCTGATACAATTAATGCCTTCATTAAAAGCAAAAGTACAATTTTATTCAAATTGCCAAATACGGACTTAATTGTTCAATCAAGTGTTACACCTTATTGTAAAAGGGAAACTCTGAATATTGCATAATGGAGAGATGACTTCTATTTTGAGATACCAGTTTACTTGCTCTAAACACTTTTTTTCCTATACTGATACTCAGTAGTGCCTAATAATATATAATAAACAGCCAAGTAGTTCCCTGTGTGCAGGTAAGTAAGTCTGTATATCAAGCATGTTTGAATCAATTTCAGAAATCTGAATACCAGGAATACGTTTGTGGATGTACTCTGACCGATGTCCGTGGTTGTGCAAGGTGATCTGAAATCTTTGCTGTCTTTAAGCAAGTCGGCTGAAATCTTCCTCATCAGCATACTGTGAATCACCATGAGTGAAAGAACGGGATGTTCTCAAAGTGGTTTCAGAAAAGGTTGTAGAGGCACATCTGGATAGATATAAAGGTGTTTGTGGACAGGCAGCTTTACTACTGCTTTTTTTCTTTAGAGGCTAATCATGTTTTCTTTCTAGAGTGCTTGAAATACTAATTTCAAGCACAATTTGTTAGACCATTCCCATTTTTTAGGTAGCATGCGGGACTTGTACGTGGGGTTTTTTTTGTTAAAGATTCCTGTACTTTTCATGAGAGTTTTACATTAAGTGAGTTAATAAATGATGTCTCTATCTTCTTTTTAGCTATGTACAGCTAATAAGATGAATTTAAAATGTTAACAGATATTCTGCTAGGCCTTATAAATGTCATCTTTTTATTGGCAAGGGACCAGCAGTTTCCCTGATGGTTGCCTTTTGGTCAGCCTAATCATGGCCTTTTAATGAAATTTCTGGAGTACTTATTTATGGTGGAAGTGTATATATTTCTATTAGTGTCAATAATATTTGAGAAGAAATACAAACGGGAAGCTTTTTGGTTTTTATGTTACTGTTAACTTGCTGGTGATGCTGTGTTTTATATGAAATAGTCCATTCTACTCCTTTTTAAACAATTTGTGTACCTTGAATATATACAGTGCCTCCTAGAGGAGGCAGGCATCTGCTCTTCTCTAAATAATCCTGCTTGCAAAGTCTCATGCTGGATCCTATACCCTGAGATACAGGTAGTGCCAAGGACTGCGTCAATGGTGATTGGTTTGCTAGCAGTAAGTGGAAAGTTCAGCACTAGGGAAAGTCCAGGCCAGTAAGTCCAAGCTAATAGATTATGAGTAATTTCTATAACTGCGATCCTGAAACTTCAGTTTGTTGGAGTTTTGTAAAGATTAGATCACTTCAAGGCACTTTCCATTAGTTCATACCATTTTTATGCTGAAAAGGCATCTTGTAAAATAAAGTGCTTCCAAAACTTTTTTAAGTCACAAACTGCTCAGTGCTCTCTATAATGTATGATGTGAGGCATTCTAAATTAATGCTGTGTTCTGGTCTGGCTAAGACCAAAAAAAATGGGGAAACTGTTGGCATCTCAACTAAGATGTTTCAGTTCCAGATAAAGATATTTTCTGTATCTTTCTGTCTGCATTGATGGCCTTTTCCTATGTTTTGGCTGGAGGGAGAAAAACTGTTGAAGTTTTTTTTTTAATGGTTATTCACAGATCTAACTAGTTTTCTGTGTTTAAATGGCTAGTTGAATTTCTCTTGTGAGCCTCCTGACATTGGTGATATGAAATTAGCAGCATGGCAGTAATGTTGGCTACAGAACAACCTTTATATGAGTCTTTACATACTTTTGCAAATTGTTCCTCTTAAACCTTAATGAAATTCAGTCAAAGGGATTTCTGTAGCCTGTCACCGGTCTGTCTAGATTTTTCAGACGTTTCCTAGGCGCATGTTTGTTGATGCACGCAGGCTTTCAACATGCACAATACAAAAACCCTTCCACAGTGCAAGGAAATGCTACTCTGCTACTTAATAGCGCAAGTTTCTGAGTTTATATGACAGTTTTTAATCTTCTAAAATATAACGTGCTCTATTTCTATGTAGTAGGTTTACAACAAGTTGAATATAATACGCTTTTTTTTTTCTTGTCCATAATGTGAATTCTTTGAAGGTATTAGTTACTAGTTCTACTCCTAGAGCTGAAAGTTTTAAGTTTAATAATATTCAGCTTAGTTGAGATACCTAATGAGGATTATGCCTCACTGGTAGCCAGATGTTTATCACCTACTATCAGAACTATGTTACAGATCAGCGCTTCAGTTGTAGAATGTTTCCTAACCAGAGCTGAATATTTATGGTAATGGCTGTCTTTAGGGAAAGTGGCTAGGTTGTGTGTGTAAAAGTGAGTAACTGTTTACATTGCAGTCGAGAGGTAAATTGCAGGAAAAGCTCCCTATGGTGTAAAATTAGATATTCAGTATTTACTCTCTGCTTCCAGAGAGTAAAGTTATAAACAGTTATTTTGAAACGGATATGTTTAGCAACCTGGCTTTACTGTATGTTGTCAAAAACCTGTTTAGAAAGAATTGTTACATGTATTGTAAGTTCTGTTTATGATCACAGACATTTCATTTTTGGTTAAGAATTTATTTTGTTAAATTCTGTGCTCTCTTAAATGCTAGAGGGGAATAATGTGGAGGATTTTTGCGGTACCATCAACTCTGATAGTGATGAATTCAGTTGCCTGGCTTTGTAAAAATAATGTTTATATACACATGTCTCTTTTTTTCTTAGCTTGTGAAAATTCTATACATTCTACACTGATACAGAAAAATGGTGAAACATGATCCCGTTTTAAAATAGTGGATGTTTTCTTCCAATTGTCCTTAGGTCTCATTAGGTGGTGTTGATCTTACAGTGCGGGTCCTCACAACAGGTTACTGGCCTACTCAGTCAGCCACACCAAAGTGCAACATCCCTCCAGCTCCCAGACATGCTTTTGAAATATTTAGAAGGTATGTATGAAAACAGATTTTTAGGTAGAGGTTTTAAGAAGAAACTTTCTAAACTTAACGTACAGATACGTTTTAACATTGGAGTTAAATACATGCTAGCATACTGCTCTTCTTCAGTTCATGCGAAAATTAGAGAATGCAATAGTCACGTTATGAGGCTTGAGTTTTTGGAAGCTTTTCCTTAGAATTCTAACGAGAGTTAATGTTTTGGAAAAGCAAAAGTTAGAAATTTCTTAGTGTCCTTAATGGCTGTGAAAAGTCTATGTAACTGTTTAAAGCAATTTCCTCTTAGGTATAAAATGTGAACTATGTATTAAGTTTACGATTCAATTATATTACAGATTTTATTTAGCCAAACATAGCGGGCGACAGCTGACACTCCAGCATCATATGGGTTCTGCAGATCTCAATGCCACTTTCTACGGGCCTGTTAAAAAGGTAAAGTATCAAGATTATGAAAATATTGTATCTTTTTTTAAAAGCAAGCAAATGCACATTTTTAATAACTTCAGAATTTTGTAAAATAAAAGCTTACCCATTGATAATAGAAGAGTAAGAAAAAGATGCCTTCCATCAGCTTTATAGTCTGATTCTTCCTTTGTAGCAGTTTTGGTTTGACTTTTTCCCACTCTAAATCTAATCTGAATGCATCACTCAGCATCATCTCTTTGTCACCTCATAGAAAAGTAGTAATTTTGATCTTGAAGGGATCTCAATGTTTTGAGTGTTTTGGGTTTTTTTGACTGTGAATCAGTCAAAAGTGAAATGAAACTTGTTTTTCTTTAGAGTAATTCTTGTTAATATGAAAAGGTGTTGTTAAGCCAAGTTCAGCCTGCTTTTCATATTCAGAGTGCTACCTAGCAATGTAGACTATTTTTTTCAGACTTGAGAATCTTAGTAGAGTTTGTAGAAGTACAGTGCTTAATGTTTATGTATACAAGAAGATAATTTGCTAGTGATTTGGACGAGTTCTAAAATGCTAAGCTAGAGATAGTAATGGCACGATGCTTGGGATCATAGAAGGCAATGCAAAATGAAAACAAATTTTTTATAACACAAAGTATTAATAATGTGTATTTGTGAGGATGTTAAAATTGTATTACTGTAGAATAAATATTTTGATAATTTTAAAGATAAGAGTAAGAAAACTGGAGGATGGGCAAGTAGTGGAACAGGGGCCAGAGAGCCCGTCCTTGGAGATGTTCAGTATTTGACTGGACACAGCCCTGAGCATCCTGCTCTAGATGGCCTGGCTCTGAGTGGTGGCTGGACTGTGGGACCTACAGAGATGCTTCCAACCTCAATCACCTTGTGATTCTAAGACAGCTACTGGAGAGACATTCTGTTTATGCCACCAGGCGTATGCTGTTCTATCACTTGCATAGACTGATCTCCTAGATAATTATTTCATCATATAACTTTCATTTTACCAAGGTAAAATATTTTGCAGTGGAGAATAATCTAATAGTAGTTTTGTAATTTTAAAATAGGAAGATGGCTCAGAGGTTGGCGTAGGAGGTGCCCAAGTAACTGGCTCAAATACACGGAAGCACATATTGCAAGTCTCTACTTTTCAGATGACGATATTAATGCTCTTTAACAACAGAGAAAAATACACATTTGAGGTAAGCGTTGTGGTTTTCTCACCTGATTTTAAATAATTGTTTTAGGCACTTTCTTGACCTCTTGAATAGACCTTTGAAGATCAGGTGCCTCTCATTCTATTTGAGTGTGGATCAGGCCAATAAATACAGGAAGCAGATCATTAGCAATCACCTGGGAAGCAATCCTAGGGGAGGAAATTATTTGGGAACAGAAGTTTTCAGAAATGTTGAAGGGAGTTGTGAGCGTAGTTATTCCTAGGTCATAGAGCTATAGAAAATCTGAAGTTGGAATGCAGCAGGTGGCTCCATTTGCTCATTTTATCTTTGAGAAACTCTTCCCTGAGCTGGTGAGCCAGAAAGGAGAATGAAGAAGGTTCAGATAGATTCTTAAGGAGACTAGAGGGGCATTGCGGGAAAAGGTTGAAGTGGTCAGCTGATGGACAATGATGAAGAAGCCTTTGGGAGTGGAGGAGGATCCTGTGCTATGAGATTTGAGCATTGTATTGTTAATGTCAATTAATAGTTCCGGTTTAGACGTTATCTTCTGTTTGAGAGAGCCTTGGCAGCCTTGAAAAGCAGTATGGGTGCAGTTTGAAATGGAGTGGATTTCCAGGTTTTCTCATCTACTTTTGGCTTGTGCTATGCATAGTAATCATTTGCCTTTTTATTTGGATTTTGTTTTCAGCTTATTTGGCATACTCCTAGCCTGTTAATAAAGAATGTTTCTTTGAAATGGTCTCAGTTGGGATTAAGGAATGCAGGGTTTGATAAGAGGCTCTTAATAAACTACTCATAGTTCAAAAAAAGATTATTTTAGAGCACAGAAAGTCCTGTGTGTTCTGAAATCTATTGCAGGAGCTTTACAGCTTTTAGTACTTTCTCTGCAGAATACTTGGGAGGGAGTGAGGAAAAGAGGGGGGCTTAACAGCTCTTTTTTGTCTTGAAGTTGGTGTTGAAATTGGGCTGGTGGTTACCTTATTCCACAAAATTGTAGGCTTTATGAGTAGTAGAGCCTCACCCATATATGAATAAATAATACTTGGTAGAGCAGTGAAAAATACAATTTTTAATATATGCTCTAAATTATAGTTTATTTTACGAAGACCAGATGATAGAGAAATATGTCCATGTGCTTTTAGGTTGTGTGTTTTGTTTATTTCTGGTTTGGGAGTTCTTAAACTCTTACTTTGTGTCCCACTGTAACTAAAACATTAAGAAGGCATATTTGTTTTGTTTGGTTTCTTTGGTGAAGTGTGTGGGAGTTGTCTTTAACTCCAGCCAGGAAAGCTTATGAAAACTTAAGAGCAGAATGAATTTTATCTCTGTTCATTGATTATTGAATACCATGATTAATTGCTGAGTGCTGGGCAACTGTTATTTCTCTGTCATATCAAATTAGTGCGTTCACTGCAACATAGCATGAGAGATGACTTGCGGTGTGTGCTTGTGTAAGCATAAAACTGTCTGATATACAAGTGTTTCTGCAGATTCACAGCTGAACAAATTAATTTGAAGTTGCCTTCACAGTTGAACAGACTTTGCTGTTTTGTTTTGCATTCAGTGTGATTATTAATTGCAAACTTGGCAGGATCCTTACAATAATCCTAATAGCCATTAAGCCATGTGATTGAGAGAAAAATGGGATAATGATGATGCAAAAATTAGGCATAAGATGCTACAGAAACTTGAAGGATTATTGTATAGCAAAATTCCGTCACAAAAATGTATGAATTTATTGTATTCCTATACAGCAACGTTTTATTTATATATGCAAAAGAACTGGTGGCCATCAGGGTCTAGGTTAATGCTACTTGAATTTAAGAGAAAGGATCTTCAATGCAAGCCTTCAAAGAATGCTAATTTTTTCAAAGAATTCAATTTCTTCTAATCAAGTGTCATCTAATACTCAACATATTTTTTCTGTTAGCTTACAGTACATCTCCAGTATTTTAAAAGGTGAAATGCACAATTTTTAAATGATGACATCAAAAATAAGGGAAAATTTTTGGTTCTAGCTTTGGGCTTAACAAACAAGAAATACAAATGTGACTGTAGTAGAAGTAAAGTTGTTCAATAATTCCACAAAAATGAGATATTAGAACTTAAAATTGGCTTATCTGTTTTCTCTTTTGCTCATCTCTGCTTTGGAAGATACAAAAGTTGAAGTCTGTAAATAAAAATAAAAATCTTTCTCTCCTTTTTTTTGTCACTTCAACAAAATGACATAATGTTTTTCCTTCTAATTTCCTTCTGCACATTTTCCTTCTAATAAACTTTTTTCTTGTGTAGAACTGGACAGAGGCAGTTCCATGCCTAGAATGATCTCTTTTGTAGCCTCCAGACAGAGCTCACCTGGTAATATTTTTAGAAATGAGATTGTGTAATGGTGCTGCTCTTGTGCACGACTCTACTGTGGCCTTTAAAATAAGGCATTTTTGGAGATGGGGAAAAAAGGTATACATTTTTCACTGTTACATCAAATGTCTATATAAAAATATGTTTAGAAAAATTATATGCTGAAGGAGGGAAGAGGGCACAGGAACATCTGTTATCCCCATTTACATTCATAGCTACACTTTTTAATCCAACTTGCAGTTTTTGCCTTCTTCTGAGGCAGCATATTGCAGTGCAGTTCTTTCTGTGGTTCTTATTTTAATGCTAACTTATAAATGCTGAAAACCAAATGGTTTGCATCCGTTAGTGGCTGAATTGGAATGCTACAGAGTGAAGTAAAATCAACACAGAAATATGTAGTGGTTATTATAAGGATGTTTAGCATCAGAAAAACTCGAATTCCATTTTAGCTCTTTGTTTCACTTCCATCAAAAGCAGAGTATATATATTTCCTTGTAGAAGTGATTTAGTTTTGAAGGGCTTAATTTTAGGTGTTGATAAAAAAAATCAAAGTTTGGGAGCCTGCATGTCACAGGCATATCATTAATAAGCTGGATTTGGTTTGTAGCCTCGAGGCTTTATGTTTACCTAAGTCCTAAAATCTAAGTGTCACCTTCCTTTGGTTTGTTAAATTTATGCTGATCAATCCATTTCAGTAAGACTTCTTGTCTGTGACCATGTAAAGGATTATAGCATCTGGGGTTTTTTTTAATACATAGTGGTTTGGGGTTTTTTTAATACTACTCTGTGCTGGATCTAGAAAAAAATGTCTGAAGGTGACAGTTGTGTTTTAAATAAAGCAACAAATGAAGTAACTTTCTGTGAGCTGCTTGGGAAGAAGCATTTTGATATTAGCAAATAGTTAAAATATGTGGATCCATATCACTTATTTCAAATACTATGAATATTTCTGAATGCATTATGCGAAGAATACTCTCAAGTTTAAGAACACTTTATTATTTCCCAATCATCCATAAGCAGTAGGTATCAAAAATTCTAAATTTTTTAAATTTTAGACGTACTGATTTTTTTTTTTTAATTTACATCATTCAAAGGAATTTGAACTCGTGTCAAAAACACAATTTCACATGATTTCACATAAAGACAACGTTGTACATATAATGTTGGGTCTATAGTTGAAAAGTAAGGCATATTCTGTCTGAGCCTTGGCATCACAAAGACCTGGTAGTGAGATATATATGAGATGCACTGTAATTAATGACAGAGTCCGAATAGAGGCCAGTACATCCACATTATTTTTATTGCATGTTGTCAGTGGTGGATGATCACATTTTTTTTCTGGATTGATTTTAAAAAACTTGAGTACACTCAAGAAATAGCATCATTTAATAGAACTTAGTTGTGCGCTGAAGCTTGATTTTTCTGGTCACTGTTTAAAGAACTTTTAACAAGTTCTTCATAGTTCTTTACAGATCTTAGCATTTTGATCACTGGGAGTTGTTACTACTGCTTTTAGCCTGAAGGTCATCAGTTTGACTTGTGTGCCATGAGCATTAGGAATTTATGGGGGCAGTGGAAGAGCTCGATACTGGTCTTGGAACCGAAGGTGGGGAAGCTGGGAAAGTGACAGCTCTTGTGGACAGTTACATGTCTGTGAGGTTTGTTTCTTCTATTTGGTAGTTTAATTTTTAGCTGCTAGAGGTCCCTCAAGAGTCTGAATGGGAATGTGAAATCCGAGGTGTCTGCAGTTTCCTCAAAGTAGAAAAAGGAAGAAAATAGAGATAAGGCTAAAAAGAACTTCTCATGAATGGGAGCTCAGTAAACGAGTTAAATTTGAGGAAGCAGTAGTAGTTGGCCTACTCCTAGAGCATGTTAAGACATCATTCTGCATCCAATATAATTTGCTTACTAACTCATGATCACTGGTGACTTACCTAACATAAGCTCTTACCTGAATTCTTAAGAATACCGGCAGAGGTGCAACAAGTTATGTACGTATTTTTACACACATTCTTCTTCAAAATTCATACATTTGCTGCACTATGATGGGTTTTTTTGTATTTCACCTGGAAAAGTCCTAGCCAAGGGCATCTGGGCTGTAAAAAAAATGTTTCAGGTTATTCAGAAAGCATGTGTAATTAATCTAGAGTATTTCTATGTTACGGTGAAACTAGACCTTGTTTGCTTCCATTTGTAAAGATCATATTCTCAACAGTGCTGCTGAATGCAAGAGCATTTACGCAGTTCTTTGTCAGGAATGCTCAGGAACATCATGGATGTTTTCCATCACTGAGTTACTTGGAAGGTTTGGTTTCACTCTGTTCAGTAAATGTTGGAGACAGTGGAAAAAATCCTTTCAGCCTTCTCAAAAATTACAGTGAAATGAAACAGCTGATTATCCATTCTTCTATTTTCAGGTCACCTTGACAGAATTCACTGTCTGTGCGTTGATCCAGGTGGATCATTTTGCATAGTACATATTGAGACTTTGCTACTGAATGAATTCTAACCTTTCAAGCCTCACAACTGTCATAATAATATTATTTTGCATGCTTGAAGGTGGACACTTCAAGCAATCGGTGCTGTTGTTTGCAAAACATGATACTTACTTCTGCCATAGCCATAAACTAATTAAGATATTCTTCTTTAGGAAATTCAACAAGAAACTGATATCCCCGAAAGAGAACTGGTTAGAGCCCTACAGTCCCTTGCATGTGGCAAACCAACACAACGTGTTCTAACAAAAGAGCCTAAATCAAAAGAAATAGAAAATGGTCATATATTTACAGTGAATGATCAGTTCACATCTAAACTACACAGAGTCAAGATTCAGACGGGTAAGTGGGCTTTATATTCTACTGTCTTGCACTCCCAAAACTGCCTTAAAATGTCAAATTATCTTTTGCAGGATTGATGTCCATACCAATAAAAGGAAGAGAGTAATACATTTTTTTCTTGATGATTGGTTGCATCAAAATGAAAATTTAAATACTGAGAAAAGTGTGGAAGTCATAGTTAAGCCCTTTACAAAATTTGTAATTACCGCTTAAAAGGAAATGTTGAAAGAGAAATAAAATTCAAATTAAATAGTAAAATTAAAAATATGCTACTGATTGATTCAGAAATAGGAAAATTGCCTCATAAGTTGCCGTACTGCTGTGAAATTGAGTGATGTTTTTAGCCCATGATACAACAGCCATTTCCAAGTGCCAGATAGCTATAATGTTTTGGGGGAATTATTTGGGTTTAACAAATAAGAGAAGCTGGTCAGTACAAAACGACTTCATTAGCTCATCAAAGTGCTGGTTTGTGTTATGCATAAGTAATGTTGATACCTTTTGTCTAGAAAGCTCTCTGGAAGTAATTTCTGAGTTGTAGCATTGCTGTGGATACATTTCATAGTGTTTTGGAAGATTAGTTCTTAGTTTTAGTACATTTAAAAATATTTTCTGACTTTGCAGATCTCGGTACATAAAATATACAGACAGCATCATTGGCAGTATTTTAAGTGCAACATTGCACATGCTGTTTGTTGCACGTAATGTAACTTGTTGGGCTTCTGTGCGGCACGCCGTATCCAGGGATGTAAGCATGTAAAACCCAGTAGTACCTACATGCATTACACGTATGCCTCTGCATAAGCGAAAGCTAGCCTGTCTTCATGCATATGCAGAGTGCTGCGGTGTCAACACGTTCGCCATGTCTGGAGAATTTTTCTGGTGAGCAGGAGCACAGTAGCCAAATGAGGATGTTGAGAACCCTCTGATCAGGACCCAAGGCACTTCCCTGGCATAATTAAAATAAATTCTGTGAAAACTGTTCGAGCTTTAGTGGAATTCTGCTTTTTCATTTCCACACCACAAATGTCTGTGAATGGGGAATATGATTTGGGGTTCAAGATGGTTTTAGAGCAAATCTGATACTTGTGGGTTTATGTCTCTGTCTTACACAGGAGACTTCTAATGTGTATCTCTTTAAAACCAATAAATACTTGGGGCTTTTGAGTGAAGAAGGGCAGGGGGAAAGTGGTATAGCAGTGTGGGAGGAGGGCTTGGTTATAATGATGCTTGGGTGAAAGGGTAAGAAAAGCTGGACATAAGGGCAGAAATAAAGCATAAATAGAAGAGGAGAACAGAATACAAAGAATATAATTGAGTTGGAGAGGATAAAGTTGGACTATTTCTTCTAACTGATGAACTTTCAAAGTATTTAACTAGCTTGTGAAGTAAACTTTCAATAGTTTTTCTATTTTAATTAATGGATTATTTGCTATATTAAAGAGAAAAATATTTAATGGGAGCATTGGGGTTGGTGGTGCCTGTAAGCAGATTTGAGTACTGTTCAAATTTTAACATAGCAATAATTAAATAACAGATTGTTACCTTGTCAGTTGCTATCAAAATATGCCAGAAAGTGTCAATATGTTCTTGTGGCTGCTTTTCATAAAAAAATCAAGTTTGAGAATGTCAAAACTCAGGAAAATATAACTTGATGTCTAGATGAAATAAATAGTGAAGCTAACACTTACACAATGAAATTAATTTTAATTTTGCTAACATACTTTACATTCTCTTTCTTTTCTTTAAGTTGCTGCCAAACAAGGAGAATCTGATCCAGAAAGGAAAGAAACAAGGCAGAAAGTAGATGATGACAGAAAACATGAGATAGAAGCTGCTATAGTTCGGATAATGAAATCTAGGAAGAAGATGCAACACAATGTGCTAGTAGCAGAGGTATACTTGTACACAGTTTTGATACGGGCTTGTGAATTCCTTTTGCTTTTCCTATTAATTCATGAAAGTTACACAGCTCTCACTAACATGATTTTGAAAAAGGCTTTTGAGAGATGCTGTATTTAATCCATCCTTTTTTTTTTCTCCCTGTCTATCTGAAGACATCTAAATCCTTACCCTTCAGTTTAGGATGTACTCGTGGGTATATCTAATTTTCCTTCCTCCTTTTAGTGCTATTATGATGTTATCAAATTCCTTGAAATAACAGTTGGCAACAAAAAACCACTGTACTTAACATTAGTTATTTTCTGCTTTGGTCTTGTTACTGACTGTTGGGTCCAGGTTTGAGAGATTTGAGCTCTTAGCGGAGAGAGAAAGAGTCCTGCTGCTCTTAACTCCTAAGTTTTGACAGCTTCAGGAATAGTATGGATTTTCCACTCTTGAGCTCCCGTAGGGCTGTGAAATTGAGAGGATTCTCAGGTTGTGACCATGCCTCTGCAGAGGGTCAGTACTTTGAAACATACCCAAAAATGAACAAGCAACTGATGGGGGGAAAAAACTGACAGAAGTTTGCGGACTGCTTCTTATGCTTCATGGTTGTAGCCAGCCCTGTCTAAATATATTTTTCTGATTATTTTGATCAGTTGGGATACTTAATGACCTTACTTGCCCTGTGATCTTATATTATTGTATATATTATCTTGTTTTAGGTAACTCAGCAGCTGAAGGCGCGATTCTTACCAAGTCCAGTTGTTATTAAAAAACGTATTGAAGGACTTATTGAGAGAGAATATTTGGCACGAACACCTGAGGATCGCAAAGTATACACTTACGTAGCATAAAATGCGTTCAGAAAATTTGATTTATTCTTGGACTATACTCTTCGCATGAACTGGGAAGTTCTTTTAAATCATTAATATTAAGACGACCATCTCTTCTATTAAATTACAATACATGTTCTAGACCATTCAGATCAAGCCTTTTACTCCTTTTGAGAGTTTTCAACATCAATTGATTGAGCTTCAGGCTTTTCAACGTTATCCCTGTAGAGATCATCCTTACAATTCTTCGGGAAAATGTGAATGTGCCGCGTTTGTTTTCAATACTGTATGAAAACAGAAAAATAAAAACAAATTTAGAAAATACAGCTCATTTAAAAAAATAAAATTGTTGGAATTTCATTTCCCCAGATCTTCAGTGTTGATGTAAATGTGTTTCTGTAGTGTTGCTTAGCACTTCGCGCATTGTATAAGTTGGGTTTAAAAGAAACCACGACTGGTAAGGCAAAATTCCCAGTTATATTGCTCTGCTTCAAATGTTTCTTTAACTAGCCATGTTTAATTTAAATATTTGGTAATTTTTTGAAGACCCAAGAAGACAACTTGAGCATGTTTCACTCTTCCAGCTGCACTCACTGTTCCAACAACATGAATCAGGAACTTCTCGGGGCTCAGAAAAGACCGTAATAATTTTGGCTTTCCCTTCTGTAATTTGAGTTCTTCTAAATTAAACTCTATATTGATTAGGTTTGTTCTGGTTTCTTTATAGGAAAAAGGAAAAGATTTTAGTGTGTATAAACTGTATAATAATTTTTGCTGTTGTACTCACTGCTGATGGTGGATTGTACAGGGCGATGTTTTTATTTCACTAAATGTAGACAAAATAAATTTAAAATAAATGGATTTAGTGTACACAAACAACTAATTCAAGTGTGTTAGAGTACAGGGTTGACAATCTTTTGGAACTAAATACTGTCCCCTGGGGAAACATACCGGGATTATATTTTGTTAGTAAACATCATAGATGGATCTGTAGCCCCAGGGTTTCCTATCATAAGTGCATATTTCAGGAGATTAAAGTGAAGCCAGTGTGCACTATTTGTTTTTAAAAATGCATTTTAAACATGCAATAAAAAACTGTTACTGTAATGAAATTTTCAGTTCTTACCCTGGAACTTTTTTCTTCTTGTCAGTATGCTGCAAAAATAGATTAAAAATTGCACTTTAGTGGCATCATTATTCTCATAGTTAGAAATAGTTTGAAGCGTGCATTGTACTGCAGAGTTTTTATTAAACAGTGTTTCTGACATTCCAGTGCACATATTACATGGTTTCTCTGCCATAGCTATTTTTCTATTTTAATTCAAAATGGTAATTTTTTTTTCTTGGTTCACATATGCTTTCATCATACTGAAAAATATAGTTGGGATGGGCTGAAGTTGAAACAAAAAGAAAAACTTGGTTGTAGAGCATTAGGATACTGCCAGAGCATTTCTTGATTAGCTGTGTTAAACAAATATGTGGAGGTGGTGTAACGTAGCAATGCAATTGGAGAGTATTTTTCTTAATGTGTCCCGAATCTCACCCCTCTCCAGCCTGTTAAGCTACAAATCCTGGCTATTGTTCAGTAGTCGGATATTTCTTCTAAAGAGAGGGACTGGAATTGGGGTGATGTTTTAGCTTGACTATTCTGAAGCTTTTTTTAAGAAGCTTAAATTTCCTGCGCACACACACACATACTAGCTTTTAAGTTATCAGAGGGGAGGTGGCTGAGGGACTTTCCTGCCCTTGTTCATCAAGAATTTAGACCCAAAAGAAAACAGCTAGCCCATTGGCCATTCTAAAAATGTATTTGCTGACTGTTACTAAAATACCTGTGTGTCTCTGTACAGTATATGCAGAACTTCAATAGAAATCGTTGTTTAGCCATAGAACAATACTAAATACAGGTTGGATGAGATCAGGGTTTTGGATTGTGTCATCAGAAACATCTTCCTCAAAATGTAACTCACTCTTCCGTGTATCAGTATGAAGGGTTTTTTATGCATATCCTATTCTTTAATAGCATAAATGTTGTGATAATTGCATGTTGATACTTTTCCGTGTGCTTTTCAGGGAGAAATGGGTTCACGTCCTTTTTCTCTGTGAAGCTTATAGAGATGTTAATGTTGCTATCTGTGACAGGAGGACTTTGTCCTTAGCGTTGCAATTATACTTTTGCTGTGCATCAGCCAAATCTTTCTACCTCTGGTGGCTTGTGGAAGTGCTGAGCCTGAATGTTACATGAATGACTGTACAATTATGTGCTTAAGGGTGGGGTTTTTACAAGCTATGTGGGCAAGTGTTTGCTAAAAGAATAACAGGTGGTGATGGCTATCCTCAGAAACTAAGAGTATAGTTTTCGTTTTAAATTTAATAGAATTATTCAGGAAGGGACTTTTGCTGAAGTCATCTTTTGGATATGTGCCCTTCACCATTGAACGAGGAGATCATGATACTGAGGATTTAAAGATGGAGAATGTGAAAACTGGCCAGAGAGAACAAGACATCAGTAGGACTCTGCTTAAGGTGAGTTTGATGCTTATGCCTTTACACTGTTTGTGTACATTAGTGAGATTTCTTTTACAGTCCATAGTAGAATTCTGCTATGCCTTATCTAATTTCATTTTTGCTTCCTTTCTTAATTTCCACTTAAAACTTACTTGTAATTTTGTTAAAATTTCATCAGTAGGATTGTAGTTACGTGTATGAGTGTAATTATTAGTAAGTTTGGTTTCTTTGCATTAATGTGCAGTTGAATGCAGTAATAAGACATAATAAACATGGAGTTTAATTCTTTAGAATTTTTTAAATTAAAAGTAGGTTTTATAGCTATTTGAAGATACATAGGCATGTACTTTCCTTGTAGACAAGTTTATTTTAAAGGGTTGGGAGTACGCTTCATTTACCATCATAATGAATAAGATTATCCTATGTATCCCTGATTTAGTCCCTGCTCTTTTCAATCTTAGCTACTTTTACAGCTTTGATTTGCTCTTTTTCTCTCCTAGAATTAATCTGTACGAGTTCCCCATTTGCTCCAGAACAAATGCATGTTAAGCATGTCTGCAAAGCAGACCGAGTCTTGGATGCTAAGCCACACCTGAACGAAATGTCTCTTCTCGCCCCCTTTCCTAAAGACAAACTTTGCCCTGTCAACCCTAAAGCTTTCAAAGTAATACTGGTTGTTCTTTGCTTATTGAGAATTGGTAGCTGCTGTAAGACTTGCTTTTCTGGACCTGTAAAAACGGAAGTATTGCACTAAGTATTCTGGATGACTGAAGTATTTTTATTCACATGTATTGTAATTAAATTGTACAGTACTTGATAGGTGGTGCATATATATCTATATGTAGTAACGGAGCCTGTCATGATATATGGTTTAGGGGATAGGCTTCCCATTTTGTCAAAGGTAGCAAAAACTGGAACTACTGGTGGCCTCCAGTTGTATGTCCAAAACTAGCCAGAACCTTTATAGCTCAGTCTAAAACTCCTTAACTCTGCTTTGCTCATCACAGTGGTTAGAGGCGACGTGGGCTCTGATCATTAGCTCCCGGTTCCTCGGAGCCCCTGTAGATTAGAGCGAGGATTTAACAGTCTAGGACTAGGCTCACACTAGTGTGTAGGGCTGGTAAGAGTCATTGTCTTGTTTGTGTCTGTACCAAAGTCCAATTTCTGTTAATACTCATTGTGATATCTTGAATAGTAAATGAAAAAAACAATGCGCTCAGTCTGAAGCATGAGTTTCATAGCTCCTCTGTCTTCTGGAATGTGTTATGCAAAAGGTTTGTAAAATGCAGAACTTTATATATATACAACTGAAAGCTGGATAAAAGAACAGAATACTTTACCTGGCTTTCTGGCCTTCTGTATGTAGGGAAGTGTTCATAGAGTATGCCCACAAACTGGATTGAATATTCTGAATCTTTCAGCTGGCTTTATGCATGTTTTAATCCGGTAGGGCAGAAGTGAATGTAAAATGTAAAGATGCTGTTTTAAATGAAAACAGTGGTACACCTTTACTTGCCTAACAAACAGCTGTGATAAATGGGCAGCGTGCAACACCACCCACATCAGTGCAACCTGGCTTGCATTTTGTGGGTATGGTGGTCTCCTTCAGAGCAGCAGGTCTCCCCAGACGTGCTGCGGTTCATACGTTTGGCGTAACCTTACTGACGTGACCGGACCTCTTACTGCAGTAAGCTGCTGCTGCTGTGTTGGCATTAGCACGTGCCAAGTTTATAGAACAGCTTTGCTCTGTCAGGGTCTTGCTCTTTTCTTCATTTCTCCTCCAAAACTGGAACTTTGATGGGGAGTAAGTCCGTGGGAGCTAATGTGTTCAGTATCACTGACATGAAGTTTATGGATATGAAAAGAAATAACATTTGAAGTTACAGCAGTGACTTTTTATTAATTATTCTTTCTCCTGCAGTTCAAAACTTAGCTTTAATTCTAGGTACAACAGACGCTGAGGAACCCTCCAGTCTTAATGACTGCTATTCTGTTCCTCTTTGAATAACATACTGCTGCGGTTCACTTCATTTGTATGCCTTATCCTTCAAGTGCTGGCAAAGGATTGAGGTTTGATCTGTCAGAAGCTGAAGCTAAAGCGAAGGTGGTGGTGTGCACGCTCAGGAAATAAATGTTTAGGCAGCGGAGTGACGTGTGTTTGCAGCGAGGGGCTGTTCTGCTGTCATCGCAGCGTGTCAGCTGTTGTGCAAGGAGGAAGGCGCATCTCTGGGGAGAGCAAGGGAGGTGCGTGGAGCAAAACCTGTTCTGAGATTGTGGTGGGTGTTGTGGGGCCGGTGGTGGTCAAACCTTGTGCAAAATGTGGTTTTAGTAACTTCTATTCATCACGTGTTAAAACGGTAAGATGTGCAGGTAGCTTTGTGGCATCCTGGATGACTTGCAGTGAGAAGTAAGTATTACTAGAGATGCCTTTTAACAAAAAAAGCAGGGTCTGCAGTACGAAACTGCTTTGAACATCGGAAGTCGTGGCACTGTGATAGCGCGAACAAGGTAGCCGAGACTGCCCCGGTGACA